GTTCTGTATCCAGTGGTTACACTGACGACTTTGAAGACAGCACGGGTGACGAGTTGGTGGAGGAAGAGGTTGATGAGGAGATCGAGGAGAACAGTGAGGAAGGGCGAACCATGGTCCAAAACAACAACGATAACTCTAGCATCAGAGATGGGGGTAGAACAGAAAACACGACTTCGATCTTAGCTACCACACAGTAGCAGATCGCGGAGAAGAAGATGAAGAAGAAAACAAGGAGAAGAAGAAAACAAGGAGGAGAAGAAAACAAGAAGCCATGCTACATCATTACAGGTAATACCTGGAATTACCACTCTTACATTTATCTTGATCAGGATACCGAGCATGCAGTTTCCCAACCCATGGAATATTTGTTTGTTGCTTAAAGCCGCCTGGGCAATATCCAGCTATGTGGACGGTGGTCTGTAAATCTGAACCAGACAATACAGCAATTAACAAACATAAGTACCGATCTGCGTAACTGAGTGATACGATGACACATGTCAGTCAAGTCAGCGTTCCTGACCACCTGATTCCGTTAGCCACCACTTACAATAAGCAATATTTACAGACCAACGCCATATAATCTGTAATATTGCTGAGTGCGTACGTGAAAACTAAACTCTTCCACTTACTCACCCTTCAGGATCAGGATCTGGGGAAGGAATAGTTCTGAAAGTACCCACAGGAGCTGCTGACGTCACCCGCCATGTTGAGCCCGTATGTGCAGAAGAAAGGACAGAGATGCTTGATGAGTTGGTCCTGACCGATAGTCACATGATGGTCAGTGACCTGTACAGGGTGTTGGGGAACGGTTTTCCTCCGGTAGACAACACACCATACAAGATACAATTGCCCCTACACCTTCCACCCACAAATGCTAGATAAAAGAGATCTGTTGTAATTTCTGGTCTTCTCCAAAGTGGGAAACGTGGACATCCCAATGAATCTGGTTATGAGGTAAAACAACGCATATACAATACGAAGACAACCAGAAATTATTGAGAATTTAAAGATTGTAAAAAAAATATTTTTTCTACTCCATTACTCATGTATTAAATGTGAATATTAGCAGAACATAACTCCAGATTCAAAGACAGGTGAACAGTTAGTATTTTGTCAAGTCACCATGGGCAGCAATGCAGGCTTCAATGCGGCGGGGCATACTACTGATCAAAGAAGTTAGAAGAAGATGCTCTCCCAATATAGGACCACCTCTTCTTTCATTTCAGCAATATTTGTCAGAGGTTTCTTATTGACACGTTCCTTCATAAGTTCCCAAACATTTTCTATTGGATTAAGGTCAGGGTTATAGCTTGGCCAATCTAATAATGTCATTTTTTGGGTCCGAAACCAGGCATGTGAATGCTTTGAACGATGTTTTGGGTCGTTGTCCTGCTGGAACATCCAAAACATTTCCATAGAACACGTGAGCAGATGGAAGTAATGTCCTCGAGAATATCTGTGTACCACTCACTGTTCATATTCCCTTCAATACAGAGGGGCGTTGCCCCTAACACAGATAGGACACCCCACACGTTAAATTTCGACTGTACTTTCGGCGCTGATACAAAGGTTTTTCAGTTTGTTTGGTCCAGAATTTCAGTGTATTAGGAATCAGCCACACACAACTTTCATCTGAGAAAATCACATTGTCCCAGTTAAAATTTCTATGCTGTAAGCATTCAGTTCAACCTTCGCCCTTTCGTTCAGGTTTCCATGATCGGTGATGGAATGCCTCGACTTTTCTGCCAACTCCATTGCATGCAGCCAGTTCTAATTTGTCTCTCAATCAATCATATCATATCCAGCCATTAAGTTTCTAAACTCCTTCTGTTTGTTTTAGAAACAAGAATAATTGCCGCCTCCTGTCACCGACAGTCAATTTTCTGGGCCTTCCTGCCTCCCTTGGTGGCTCATATATATCCATTTGCAATATTTTTCAAAACATGATAAACAGTGGACAAAGGGATGCCTGTTCTACTTGAAATAACTTTAGCTGATCTGATGTCCTTGTTATAATACTCTAAAATCAACTTCCTCTTCTAAATCATCCATACTGAGGATCACTGAAAATGTCGTCTGCTAGCAAGTAAAAGAAAGGGGGATAACTCTTCACAAACTAATGGATTAACGGAGTTGTTTCTTGAATGAAACCAAGCACTTGATAGCTGGTCAAGGTTGTTTAAACTAGAAATCCAATTAAACATATTCCTAAAATTCTCAATAATTTCTGGTCATACTATATAAATAATCTGATGATAATTGCAAACAGATGCCTTTCATAAAACTTTATTGGTTTTAAAATATTGATACATGATGTAAAGAAATGTAATCAAATTTGTTTGGTACACATATTTCATACCTGTTCTGATTCTGTTTTCTTTTCCTGCAGGATGATCTTGTAAGCTTTCAAGGAGAATTTACATTACTTTGTGGTATATGCTGAGAAGCGGGCAGAGGTGATCAATATCACACCAAGAGGATACACATTCGTATCAAGCAAAGATCAAAGAATTCGTGGAAGTACCAGATGGGCAGTGGACACAGAAAATGACAATTTCCTCCAGGTACCAACATAAACAAAATCAGTGAATGGCTATAACTATATTATATATTAATAAAACTTAAACCTACTGGAACATTAAGACCACATTTAATGAAAAGATAAAGTTTCTTTGTGCAGCACTCCAGCAATAGTCCAGCAATATTGCAGCGTAAATAATCGAGCATGTTTCCGACAATCCAGTGACTGACATCGTGAGCCATCTTTGCAATTGGGACATCATGACATGCATTAGACAAGTCAGCGACCTGGACCACCCGAACGCGTTAGTCGCCTCTTACGACAATCGTGGGTTGTTGATGACCAATTTCTAAACTCCAGGTGCGGGAAAGTGTGGACAAAGGTGAATCGTAAAATTATGTGCTATGTGGTTATGAAGATGGACATAATAAATGCCCTTCCTTCTCGGGTATTATAGTACATTGTGTGAAGCCCATTTGGTGTCCACCGCCCTGATATTGCTGGAATATTGCTAAAAGAACATAGACCTCAAACTCAATCAGGTATTATAACGTATGGATACTTTCTCCAGATTCAGCCACAAGCATGAACCGATTGGAATGTAGGTACAGGCCGCAGTGATCCGGGAAGTTTTGAGGGAATATACGCTCTATCTGATATCCTGTCCGTCCGATATGCAGTTGATTAGAGCTCCCAACAAACCCACAATAGTTCAACTGCCCATAGAGGGCAAGGAATCGGACGGTGCGGGAAGTTAAATGGCTGAACGCTGAAAATGGGCCCAAGGTGTGTCGGCGGGTGACCATGGTAAAGAATGCATCTGTGACAATGTCTATAGAACTACCGGTAAAACCAGGTGTATGTGATAAGGAAAACCCTACAGAGCACCAAATGCTTCGAAGAATTTTATGTTGTTTCTTTGCATTTGTTCCTTTAATTTATCGGGTTAATTTTAGAATTTCCTTTCTTGTTATTTTTGTCAACCTGAGATAGGAAATATAATTTAAAATGAGAAATATTAGAAAATCTCTGCATTTCAGCATCTAGTTGTCTAAGGCATTTCTAAAGTCTTCATTCCGAAATCCATCATTGTACTAGTAAGTTTCCCTGAATATGGGTGGATATGGAGTAGCCTAGTGGATAAAGCATTTGCCCGTCACGCCGAAGACCCTTCGTCTGATTCGGGCCACATGAGCACAATGTGAAACAAATTTCTGGTGTCCCCCTGCCGTGATATTGCTGGAATATTACTTTAAGTGGAGTGTAAAACTCAGTCACTACCACTCTACTAAAATATGATAGCAATGCAAATAAACATATACATGGAACATATCTATTTTATCTTTGCAGTTGCTAAAGCTACACTTTGTCCGCCCAGGGTGAGTGAGATGAGAGATTAATACGATGTGTAATGTTGCAAAGAAATGAACTCAACAAATGCAAGATTTTGATATTTCATCGAGAGCTGCAGGATTCCATTGTAAGTGTATGGACTGTTGAAGTGGTGGAATCGCCCAATGTTAGCTCTCTAGTCAGAAGCAGACGTAAAAAAAGGATTCCAAGGAGATCAAACAAAGTAGATCGCCCGACATCGACGTGTTTACGGGACGAGCGCATCAGGATATCATTTTCTTGGTAACATACAACAGGTTGATAAACGGGAAATGAAAAAATCTTACATTTCAATTCTCAGCAACATCTGAAGAAAAACTCGTGTGGAGACGAAAATAAAGAGAATGGGTTTTATGACGGGCGTGCCATATGGCATACTGGATTAAAATTGGTTCTGATAAGCACCATGAGGTTCACTTTATGCAGATTACCAATTGGATGACACAACAAACCCCAATAAGCAGACTCAGAGCCAGGAGAGAGACGATATCAACCCTAGTGTTAAAGATCAAAAATAATCAAGAAGAACCGAATGTCAGATCTGATTCAAATTATCCCACTTCTACCGACAGACTCTGCTGCTGGGGAGACTTCTGCACGATGGGTATCGTTGTGATATCACACAGATGAAGACGATGCAGCAGTCAACAATACAAACATGTGACTGCAGCTTTGGTCGCACATACTTCTGCCCCTTGATAAACCCCTGCACATAGTGTAGAGTGTCAGCTGAACAAGGGGGTCCCCTTCATGTGTATCTTTGACGCCGAGTTCCAGCGATAAAAGCCGTGGTCGTGAAACCGTCTCTACAAAAAGAAGTAACTATGTCTCCCATGTCCAGTAACACAGGGGATGCTAATGGCAGCAGCAGCCCTATAGCTAGTAGTAGTGATGGGCGCACACCATCGAAAAAAGAAAACTTACAGAGAGGTACAAGTACAGCGGGAAGGTACTGCACCAGTTCTTCCTGACATCTGCCTCCCCGCCCTCGGTCCCATACGGCGACGCCAAACTGATCTCAGGAAGGCTTAACGTCAAAACAACCGATAGAATATTGCAAATAATGTGCCTCAGGCTTACCCAGAATAAGGATTTCAAACCGCAAGAGGAAAACGATAATCGTTGGCAGCTTCTGTCAGTGAGACACAAAACACAACCCTCTACAGCCAAAGGTATCACACAGGCCACCTAGTGACAAATTGCCTCCACTGTCAGTCAAAAGAACCAAGAGGACCTTCCAAAATATCGTCCTCAGAAACCAATGGTGAGCGTTAATCATTGGTTATGTTGTTTTGTGGCCCATAGTGCCAAAAAAAGTAATAAGTTGAGTTACATGAACGTTTACTAAGTAAACTTGTAGCGGCCATAAAATGTCCTTTTTGCAGGGATTCGAACCACGGATCTTCTGATCCAAAGTCAGACGCCTTGTTCACATGGGATGATTCCACGCCCTGCTACATACTCCCCCGTCAACACAAGGCATGCCCCTTAGGGTACTAAGGGCACTTTTACTAAAGACTTCCTTTGACTTATTTTGTTCAAATTTAATATGAACGTGCTCAGTTCCAATGCAGCGACCATAGATTTCCGGAGTCCCGTGTTTGGATTCGAACAACGGACCTTCGGGTTCTGTCCACATGACTAAAGAGGTCACGCGGTCAGCAAGTTGTTATCTATGAGAACTGAGCAAAGTCCATGCCCTGCTACAGAATTATCCTTCGATATATTATAAAACGTTCTTCTGATCTATTTCATATTTTCATACATGTGACAAGTTAACTTCTTTCCAGCCAATCAACTCCCTGAGTGAGAGCAGTCTCCAAGTTCTGAGCTATGCACTGGCGACACCAGAATGGCAACGGGTCATGGTTGACTTAGGAAATGGGAGCCGACAACATCACAGTAATTGCTGAAAGAGCTGTAAGAGAAAGCTGGGACCCTCGCTTCAAGTTTTTAATGGCGTGGCATCAAAAGCACTCGGGTAAACCTAATCTAATGAGTGACATGGAGGAGCCACAGAGACGTATTGATCGATGTGATATAGCAGAGACGATCAGACGGTGTGCCGTAAAGATAGGATCGACCATTTAGAAAGGACGATTTCACTCCCCAATAACATATATTCAGTGTTTCCTTTTCTAAACATTGTCTTTTCATGTTTCATATACCCATCACGTCACGCAAACACTTGTCTTTCCATACAGACGATTCCTATAGCTTTCATATCATTTGGCAAAGCCGGTATTCGCACAGTAAATAGGTAGTGATCATTGGATATTGTAGGGGAAACAAACCTGTGTTTTTTGTCTCTGTTTGATGGGGATTGTCAATGGAGCTTGAAAATTGTTTGGAAAATTAATTATACCGGTTTGTGGAAATAGTTAGGAAAGACAACCACAAAATTGACACAATAGGTATTCTTCTTTGACAGTAATTATTTAAATCCTTAGTTACAATAGCATAGTACATAACAATCTTAGTGCCCCCATTCCCTCATTCCTACCTCCGAATATTGAATGATAGGTCCCTTTTGATGTTGCTGAATGACAAATTTCACATTTCACAGTTCTGAAGACTGAAACTGGGATACTCGTGGGTCAAACTGGATGAGTACATGAAATCATTCATAATCATTTATAATCATTTAGCTGATGCACGCCAAGTGCATATAGATTCCATTAGAATGTATTGTCCAAAATCTTGGTAGCAATATTTTCAAAATTATAGTTCTTGGTGGTACCCGTGAAGAATTGATCTTCAGTAACCCGTGGTTATTGTAAGAGGCGACTAAAGGATCGGGTGGTCTGGCTCGCTGACTTGGTTGACGTATGTCATCGTATCCCAATAGCGTAGATAGATGTCCATGCTGTTGATCACTGGATTGTCTGGTCCATACCACCGCCATATAGCTGGAATATTTCTGAGTGAGGTGTAAAATTAAACTCACTCACCCACCTTTAGTTCGCGGTGGCCTGAAGTTCTCCAAGTTTACTTTTAAGTGAAAATAGCATTCCATGTTCATTGTATTGGTAAGGTTTCACAAACTGTTTTAGCATCTTTGATTGGCTCACGTTCAATTGCCTTTGATATTTGCAATGACCGACATCTTGACGTCGGTGAAACTAAAGAGACTGGCGCGGAGAACCATTGAAACATATAACATGGGATTATACCACACAATCATAAAGTATCTGAAAAAGTTTGGAAAGTCGATGGATTTCTCGTTTACACCGAATATGTGAAATATAACAGCAACTAGAAAAGGGACGTGATTCACGACTCTAGAGTATCATATAGAGCTGTGAATGCTCTTGACGACGTTGATCATACGCTTATAGTAACTAGCATTAGTGGTGCAGCTTGTATTAGTTCTATTATCAACTACAATCGCTGCACCTATCGTAATTTGGTAAGGGCGGTAGCGGCAGGAATATCTGAAACAGTAGGGTTAATTCTTAAGTTAATTTTATCCCCGAATGCAAAGATATAATAAAACACGATATTCGTGTTTTCACCGAGACAAATCTGAAATAGCATAGAAGGTCATGTCTCGACAGTGCTTTGCCGATGGAACGTGGTCCAAGGAGTTTCGTTTAGTGATGTCGGAAGTAACTAAATACAACATAATGGAACAAGAGATTCGAACAAAGTCTCGTAAGGCCAGTCATTGATTTGATAAGGCTTTTCTGCGCAAGCGTGACTGATGCCGTTTTGACAAAGCACTCGGCGAACGAAGTAAAGCTCTGACAGTTGAAAGTTTGATAAAGTGATACATCCAGGTATCGTCTTGAAAGGAGATGGTGGGTCCAGATGCATCCGCAACAGGTAGAATCACAGGCAGATATTTCATGATATTAAAGCGACGATAGAATGATTTATAGCAGCTTAGCATATGTGTGAAACGCTTGTCCGACTTCTGCTCTTCCATTCTTCAACAATGACCCGTGAAGATCCGGATTAGAAACCAGAAACCGATGCTTGTTGCAGGTGTGGGAAGATAACCCGTCCCAACGTCCGAGACGGGTGAATTTTGTGTAGGACGGGTTAAAAATATCTAGTCCGTCCTCATGTCGGGTCAATTTTAGCAAACCAATGACATATATATAATGATTATAACCTTTTGGAATATTTACTGCCGAAGGTCTTTATTTTATATTTGGAGGACAGGCTAGATTTTGGCAGACTGGTAACAATTTGACCTGCCAGTCCTGGAGGACAGGCTATAGATTTTCTACATCTTCCTACACGGCTTGTTGTAAGAGGCGACTAAAGGGATCGGGTGGTAAAGCTCGCTGACTTGGCTGACACATGTCATTGTATCCCAATTGCGTAGATTGATGCTTTGTTGTTGATCACTGGATTGTCTGGTCCAGACTCGATTATTTTACAGACCGCTGCCATATGGCTGGAATATTGCTGAGTGCGGTGTAAAGCTAAACTCACTCACCACTCGCTCTTCAGCAATGATTGCCACCTCACATTATGAGTCTGTAATATTAAAAGGAACAGAAAAACTTCTGTTGTGGTCTTCAAGAATGAACTAGACTCCGTCTTCTCAACGTCATTCATGATCACAGAATACACCAAGAATGGGCAATCATTCAAAAGGTGTCTTCCACAGATTTCTGGTACCCGTGGTGAATACACAAGAAGTCTTTAAATCCTTCTGCTCCCTTTAAAGAAGGACTCAGCTGCCAACGTCACCATCGGATGTGACCACAATGTGCGTTAATGCAGAGTCAGTAATAACCTTCTGGATGCTGAACCAAATGTCAACAGATTCTGGTTCCATCCAGACAGGTTCTGTGTAGGACAGGTCTTTAGGAACAACCGGCCACAACAGTACAGCCATTATGTTTCATAAAAATTATTATTACCCTATACCCCACCCCTGTCGACTTTTGAACGAACAAATCAGTGAGTGTCACAATCTGCCCACTGTGATGAGTATAAATCTTCATTATTGTCTGTCTCAAAAGATATGTAGCTACCGAGCTATCGAAACCATGTGATTCAGAACTTTGTAATCGTGCGTAAGGTCTTTTATTGCAACGATATAGGTGGATGTCACATAAATATTGATTTGCATTATATTTCGTGTTTCAAACCAGTGGATAAAACGCCTATTGCAGCATGTACCCCGGCATTTTACGCCTCTGCATTTGCACGAAGGGAAGGGAAATGGTCTCTGCCTCTACGTCATTCAAGATATAATTAACAAAGATGAGGTGTGCTGTCTCATGATGCGTGATGTCATTCTCGTACCATTACACTTCCAACCTTAACATTGAAGACGTTTAGTAAAAAACGGACGTCGTTGAAAACAGTTATTGTAATATACACGTTGACTTGTTTCGTAAGCCAAAACGATGATACAGCCAAAGTCGATACCTGTAATAGTTACCGAATCCTTATCAACCTATTCTTGGTGGTTTACTCCCATAAGAACTCCATCCCATTTGAACTATACATCCCAAATTAACTACAGGGATTAATTAGGATTATGTATGATGATATCAATGTTATTACCTAATCAATGTAACGAATGATAACAAACATCCACGCGAAAATTTTAAAACCTTTATAAGTAACATTGTAATTAAACAAAAGAAAGTCAACAGCAGGAAAACAATTACAAAATAACTCAAAATACAACATTTGGCATTCCATAAAGCTTTATGCTGTTTGTTTTATAATACTTTGATAAAGCTTTAAATCAAGATTTTACGCACACATAATTTTCGACTGTCGTGAATAAAACAACCTACCTGCATTCTCCTCCACTGTTCTATTGGGCTACTTTCACAGGTCGGGTGATTTGTTTCCTTTGAGCAAACTCTGCAGTGTTTGTTGAACCTTTCGTCACCAAACCGAACCCAAGTCTCGTCAAAAGTGGGGCTCTATAGGCACGTACCTGCGTACGAATCTGCAAAATTAAATGCTTGGATTATTTGCCGTCAAAGTGGGACATTGCCTGTATAGCTATTTATGGTTCACAAATGTGAAACACGATCATATGTTTGTATAACGACATAGGCTATGTGGGTGCCTGAAGCACAACCACAGAGAACACATACTTAATCATTCACCGCGGGCAAACACATGCACGCACTTATTTAGAAAACACCAGTGCAGTCTCTCATATACCCAGCGAGACATACTGGCATACAGAATAAAAGCAACATGAGCATTCAATCAAATAACTAAATACCAAGATCACGCAGTCAAATACCTAAGTTACAAATGTAATCATGACATCATACACACAGACTCACTCATACACATTCTCACATCACGCAGTCAAATACCTAAGTTACAAATGTAATCATGACATCATACACACAGACTCACTCATACACATTCTCACATCACGCAGTCAAATATCTAAGTTACAAATGTAATCATGACATCATACACACAGACTCACTTCTCATACACATTTTCACATCACGCAGTCAAATACTTTCATGCACACAGACTCAACTCCATACATTTCACATCACGCAGTTACTAAGTGTAATCATGACATCATACACACAGACTCAATACACATTTTCACATCACGCAGTCAAATACTTTCATGGAGCCCTACAAATGTAACCATGAAATCATAAAGGAAAACCAAGTTCTATGAGATCACACACACGCAGACTCAAACAAAGGAAGAGAACTTGCAGCCATGCAGGAAGCATTTGCAATTATGGTTATTATTTTGTAAATTTACAAAACGTCTATCGGTGCTCCTTAGGCGGGCGTGCCAGCGGATGTTTACGTCCAACGAAAGTGTGTGAGTGAGTTTAGTTTTACGCCGCACTCAGCAATATTCCAGCTATATGGCGTCGGTCTGTAATCCAGTGATCAACAGCATCAACATCGATCTACGCAATTGGGACACAATAACATGTGTCAACCAAGTCAGCCAGCCTGACCACCCGACAAGCAAGAATTTCTGAAGATCAATTCTAACCTGGATCTTCGCGGGTTCTAACGAAAGCTATGGCCCCAATGACAACAAAGAGACAACAAGGTTGTAACAAGAGTCCTGGAAGGATAAATGTCATGACTGACTGAGTTTAGTTTTACGCCGCTTTTAGCAATATTCCAGCAATATCACGGCGGGGGACACCAGAAATGGGCTTAACACATTGTGCCCATGTGGGGAATCGAACCCGGGTCTTCGGCGTGACGAGCGAACGCTTTAACCACTGGGCTACCCCACCGCCCCTATAAATGTCATGACGAAACTGTTCTATATGTACACATAACACATAACGTCTATACCTATTGGCTCTGAGCCGTCACGTGATTTTTATTTGTTTTTTGTTTCATGGTACTCTTACCAGTAGTCTAGCTTATATTACGACTGCTTGAAAATATTTTAACAAATGGTAACAATGTAATCTTGTGATTGATATTTGCAATAAAAAGGAATTTGTTATCCATAAAGTCGTCTGTTTCATTATAGACATTACTGACGTATCAAACACGTATTTATGAACACACGCACAAACGCACCCACGTACGCACACGCACGCATAGATACAAGCACACATACACACCCACAAGCACGCGCACTCACACAATCAGGTACCGATGTATGTTTGTTTTACGTATTTTATATCTTCCGACACTTGAAAGTCACAGAATATTTCAAAATATTCTTTACTTAAATGAAACATTAAACTTTATGAATGACAACTTTTGTTATTGCACAGAGCGACGTTTCGGCGTAGATTCTTTCAGAATGTCGGTCAAACAATACAGTTTGGTTGCGAGTTACCCGATAGTTGTCCTCACCAGACAAGTTTTTAAAAGCAGTTTGAAAAACCTGCATACCCTCCACGGTACCCTCAGTTGAGTAAACGCCTTTCATTTACTACAAACTGGGACGCTGCACAGTCGAGGACGGATCTGTAAACGTAAGCCGGAGGAGTCAAACAGGTTCGTTCTTTTTCGTTTTTGAACTCATTGCTTTATCTTCACGTGTGTGTGTGTGCGTGCGTTCGTGTGTGCGTGCGTGCGTGCGTGCGTGTGTGTGTGTGTGTGTGTGTGTGATATTTGACACAGGCGACTTTATGGACAACAACTTCTTGTTTATTGCATAGAGCAACGTAGATTTTTAACACTATTATCAAGCAGAGGGTGACGACAATCAAGTGACGAGAAGTATATATACATAGCAAGTTGTGACAAACACCAGATTAACATAAACAACAGCATGCAATTGAATAACAAGTGGCACATAATTGGATGAGGCCGGGTGGGGAGTAAGTACAACAACCCATAGCCCGGGGCCAGGCAGCAGCAGGAGGAGCTGAGTAGTTAAACCAAGCTGATATGGTGCAAATAGATACATTTTAAGGCCTTATTAGGACTTTGTAGACAGATGGTATGTAATAATAATATGCGTTTATAATGCGCTAAACTCCGTTCATTTGTAAAATGCTCATAGCACTAACAATCTGAGGTGCTAGAAGGTTAATAGTCTTAAATGACTTATCCCACCGGGTACCCATTTTCTGCTTGGTGAACAGAGGCAACTTTGAACAAACTCACATGTATCACATGTGCTTCGTTGTGGGGCAGGAGTGATGTCCCAGAAACTCTTAGGAGCCAAGCTGCCAAACATGGTCATCCATCCAAGTACTGACCGCTCTCAACGTTGCTTTACTTCAACATATTTTTTTTACCTGAGCTCTATGCACAGGATCACACACCACCACTAGTACCCTTCTGTCTTGTTGATCAAAGGTTTGTACTAATTCCGATGGCTTCCAAACAATTTCTTTTCGTGAAATCCTGATTCATGGTGGCTAGGATTTCAACTTTGTCGAACTCGATTAAGTGACTGAGGGATCTTGTTTGGTGATCGCGCTCATTTGCTGTCTACCAAGGCTGTTGAGGTGTTGTGCTCTTTACTGCGGGTATTTACTTGACGGTTGTAGTATGGTGATCTAACTTCAGTTGTTGGTGATCTATAGCCTATTTTTATATTGTGTTGTCCCCTATAGTTAAAATGTTTTAGATTCAATTACTAGTTTTACTTACATATCTGTGATACTCTAGTTGGTTTACTGTCCTTTGTCGGCAGGTTTTATAATCTCTATATATATTCTATTTCAATGTCAAGTGTTCTCGTCACGATATGGCTGAAATATTGCCGATATGACGTTAAATAATAACTCACTCACTCACTTCTTGACGGTTGGGTTAACACCATTGGCTCTGAGGGATGGAAAGCAAGTTAAAATGGTGCCTGCTTGGTGCTTTAGTTGGGTTTTTTTGTCTGTTGCTTAACGTCGCACTCTGCAATATTCCAGCTATATGGCGGCGGTCTGTAGATAATTGAGTCTGGACCAGACAATCAAGTGATCAACATCTTGACCATCGATCTACACGGTTGGAATACAATGACATGTGTCAAACCAAGTCAGGAACCTGACCACCCGATCCCGATAGTCCCCTCTTACAACAAGCATGTGTTGCTGAAGACCAATTCTAACCTGGATCTTTATGTTGTTCATCTTTGGACAAAAGACCTACATATATACACGTAATTTGATTAGACTTAATTATTACGTATAAGATTTTGTCCAAGAGATTAATGCATTTTGATTGTTGAAATGCGATTAATGATCCTTTAACTGTTGGTTGAGCCCGTTTATATAACTTCATTTTTTAACTTACGATTGAAAACATTGGGGATATATCGGAGAAATCAATGTTGACATGATAATAATGAAATGTTTTGAGAGGGAATCACCACCTGACCATAGTTGTTTGTACAGTACTCGCTCTTGAAAGATGATTGGTTTATGGCGTGAAATTTGCATGTGTACGATTTTCATTTTTTCAATAAAACAAATCGGCTAGAAACAAACACTAACAACTGTGTGATGCAAGATGATTGTCAAAATTAATGATCTACAGTGATTTATCGACCTTCACAATCAAGAATGACACCCCATGCACGTGAATGGGACTACTGCGTTGTGCATATGTATCCTATGTTTCTTAACGCTTATGTTTCCTGTCCAAATTGAAATTTCAGGTTCCCCTACTTTTTTAAGGAATATACGTTAAGTGGGGATACTGCTTGTTAATATTTTTTAATTGATGTAGTAAGGTTTTATGCTGTTTTTTTTTCACACATTTGACTGACCATGCTCTATAGGATTCAAATAGCGTTCTCATTCCAACCTATAGTGTGGCAACATCAAAAATATATTAGAATGTAAATAATTATAAAAAAATAAATCTGTCTAACATCCCGTGGGTAAGTAGCTTCATAGGATTCGCCAGTGTTTGACAATACGAAGGTTTATGAAACGTCTGCTCCAGTGTTTTTACAGATTCGTCTTATCGACCACTACTTTGCTGCATGTCGCATGCGCAGTAACACATATTCGCAGATCGTGACAAATGATTACAAATTGGTAGGTCATGACATCACTCAGTCTGGTTTGTTTGCAGGATGATTGCTCTCCAACTCACCGTGTTCACCCTCCTCATCTGTGGGACCTGCGGTTTTTCTGGGTATGACAAGATATTTGTCCAAGCCGTACAATCTGATATGTGAAAACTTCTGATTAAGATCTTATCATGCTTCTAGCATCGCTACACCAGACATCCCAGGGTCGGGGGTTAGAACAGGCCCAAGACATATGGTTACTGCAATCGGGTAGTAAAAGAGGCTAAGCCGATCGGGTGGTCTGGATTGTCTGTCTTCAATCTTTGCTCATAATATCAGTCACTGGGTTGGCTGGTCAGTAAAGCTGGACTCCTGTTGAGAACGATCACTCACTCACTCACTCCTCCTCACTCAACCCACCCACCTACTCACCCACCCACTCACTCAAATTCACTCACTGACTCAACCAACCAACCCACCCACCCTTCACTCTCACTCACTCACTCACTCACCAACCAACCCACCCACCCATCCACCTCACTCACTCACTCACTCAATGAATCCACCCACTCACTCACTCACCACTCAATGAATCCATCCACCCACCCACTCACCACTCACTCACTCACCTCACCTCACCCACTCACCCACTCACTCACTCCAAGCCACCCACCTACTCACCCACCCACTCACTCAAATTCACTCACTGACTCAACCAACCAACCCACCCACCCTTCCACTCACTCACTCACTCACTCAACCAACCCACTCACCCATCCACTCACTCACTCAATGAATCCACCCACTCACTCACTCACTCACTCAATGAATCCACCCACTCACTCACTCAATGAATCCACCCACCAACCCACCCACTCACTCACTCACTCACTCACTCACTCACCCACTCACCCACTCACCCACTCACCCACTCACCCACTCACCCACTGTTGAAGGTACTGGTTCAACATGTTTAACCACTGCAACCCTCCTGAACAGATGTTAGGGAAGTTCTGTGCTGCTTTGCTGGACAACGACGTCAACGGCGACGGCAGAGTGGACGGCAAAGACATCGGCTTTGATATGCTCTACTACAACTATGACGGTGAGTTTTTTAGCGATCGACTGCTTGATAACCAGTAAAGGGGCTAAGATCGCTATACAATTAAGTCTACTCAGAAAAAATGGCGAAAATATATAGCCCATTTCTGGTGTTTCCCGCCGTGATATTGTTGGAATCAGATTGATGATGATCATGATGACGACGACGATGATGGTGGCGAAAATGATGGTAATGATGACGATGGGGGGATGATGATGATGATGATGATGATGATGACGACGACGACGACGACGGTGGTGGTGGTGATAAGGATTGTGATGATGATGGGGGGGCGATGGGGATGATGACGACGATAACGACGATGGTGATGACGACGAAGAAGAAGACGAAGAAAAGGAAGAGGAAGACAACGTAGACAAAGAAGTTGACGACTATTTTGGTGGTGGTGGTGGTGGTAGAGATGATGATGATGTATCAATTGTTTCAATTTAACCTACAGATGACCTTTGCACCACACAAAAGTGGGAGTTCTTAACACGGTGGACGTGCAGGTACGGTTACTCCGGGGAGTACGCTCGCTTCGTCAGCGCCTTGTTCAGCAGCGGCGGAGCAGGAGACTTCAGTAGCTTCAGTAAGATATAGCGTTTTTAATTTGTGGTTCAGTGGTTTTAACTGGTGGTAACTGGTGTACAGTCTGAGAATCACGGAGTCATTTGTAACTAGATGGGTCACAGTATAACTGAACTCATGAAGTTCTTTTTGTTTGTTTAAGCTATTTTTTGTTTCACGTTTAGACTAAAGACCCGTGAAGATCTGGGTTAGAATGGGTCTTCAGTGACTGTTGTAAAGGAGACTTACTTGAAACATGTCATCGAATCCAAATTGCGTAGATCGATGTCCCTAATGTCAATCACAAGATTGTCTGGTCCAAACTATTTACAAATCGCCGTCATATAGCTGGAATATTGCTGAGAACAAACACGGTATAATTAGGCTCGGATGGAAACAATTCTCTGGATCTGTCTGAGTGTCTATCATCTCGCCCCGACGCCATCAGTCGCTCCTTATGGTTTTAATACCCTGTTTATGATGAGGAGGATTAAAGCAAGTGGTTTAATTTGCAATTCGAAACAACATTCACTTTCTTTCTTTTCTCTGTTTCAGATATGTCCAGTGACGCCTTCCTGTCAATGCAATACGTGGTAAGTCTATGAACAGTCAAGTCCGGATATATCGAAGGTTGATATTGAGAATACATCTCTAACGAAGATATTATGTACTATTCGCGAACACCTTACCATAATTCGTCAGAATGAACTGATATTGCCATAATTAAGTTAAAGTCTGAAAGAACTAATATTGGCGTATTGAAGTTTGTAAGTTAGAAGAACTCAGAAAGAAGTAATATTGGCATATTGCTGTTAGAAAGAACCATTCAAGTTGTTGTTAGAAAGAAGTAATATTGGCATATTCAAGTTGTTGAAAGAAAATATTGGCGTAATCAGAGTTGTTGTTAGAAAGAAGTATTGCCGTATTCAAGTTGTTGTTAGAAAATTCAAGAAGTATTGGCGTAAGTAAGTTGTTGTTAGAAAAGTAATATTGGCGTATTCAATTTGTTGTTAGAAAGAAGTAATAATATTGGCGTAATTCAAGTTGTTGTTAGAAAGAAGTAATATTGGCGTATTCAAGTTGTTGTTAGAAAGAAGTAATATTGGCGTATTCAAGTTGTTGTTAGAAAGAAGTAATATTGGCGTATTCAAGTTGTTGTTAGAAAGAAGTAATATTGGCGTATTCAAGTTGTTGTTATGACCTATCCTACCGTTGTAGAAAGAAGTAATATTGGCTGCTGGTGAGCACTTGTGGGTTGTTAGAGCGATATTGTTCACATGACCTATCCTACATTTATACTTCCCAATGGCAATTGATGTCCATTTCCCTCATTCTCCTGTTTACAGCGTTTCAAGAACGGCTACTGTGGTGACCCGAAAAACAGGGAGAACCCCATTGACCGCGTCCAGTGTGCCGAGGTGGACGAACTTCAGCCACAAGACGTCAAGTGTGCATGATGAGACATTTCCCCTGTAATGAATAAACATCTATAAAGCTGTTTGTAATAACAAGTGTTTGTGCTACATGAGGAAAGGGAGGTGGGTAGCCTAGTGGTTAAAGTGTTCGCTCGTCACGCGAAAGACCGGGTTCGATTCCCGACATGGGTACAATATATGAAGCCCATTTCTGGTGTCCCCCGCCGTGATATTGTTGGAATATTGCCCAAAGCGGCGTTAAACTGAACTCACTCACTCACTTACTGATTAAACCAACTTGGCTAACGTCCTACACCTTTGATACTGATGCAGTTCATGGAGAATACTAACGCAAACGTTTGGGGTTTTTTCATAGGAGTAAAGACATTCTAAAGTCACCTTCCATGATTGAAATTGAACAAAATGTTTGTAAAATAGCAATAAACACCTAAAAAACGCTCTTGTATTCCGCTATTACGGAAACACCCGTCAAACACCAATTTTCTTTCAAACCGCCTCCATGGTGTAGTGGTTAGAGCGTCCGCCCGGAGAGCGGAAGCTCGTGGGTTGGATCCCCGACCGCGTCATACCAAAAGACGCCTGGCGCTCGGCATTAATGGGTACAACAAGGACTGGTCGGCTCGGAGTCAGTATAATGTGTATGAGTGGGGTATTCATGCTTCACTGCGGCATGGTATCTCAGTGGGCTAGCACTATAAAACCAGCTGAAGTCTGGGCTAGTACAAGCAGCCGCACATACACATACACACGCATGCACGTCGTCATATGAGCGAAATATTCTCAAATACGACGTTAAACCCAATTTCACCTCACCTCACCAATCATCTTTCAAGAGCAATTACTGTACAAACAACTATGGTCGGTAAGGAAGTGCAAGTGGTGATGCACTCTCAAAACATTCATTATTATCATATCAACATTGACTGACTCCGATATATCTCCCAGTTTTTTCAGTCGTAGATTACAAATGAAGTTCCTCTATTCTTCTAAAGAGTATAATAAAAACTGACATCCATCAATTTTTCACCTTCATTTGTGTCACTTCTGTATGCCCCTCTCAAATGGAATCGTCTTTGGATCTCTAAACGGTTCCACACATCCGTAAAAACACGGTAGATGTGTATTTGATTGTGTTAGACCGGAATGCATTTTACATTCATTTGGATTATGTATGAGAAGGTTCATCACTTTTCGTTATTTGCATCAGCAGCGATAGTCCAGTCAAATTCAACATGACATGTCAAAAACGCCGGATCCTCATTTTCACCAAATCTTAAGCCAAAACCATAACGAGGCATTGAAGACTTTTCGTCATATCATTGTTTTGTTTTGTTGGGTTTTTTGGTTCAACGCTGCACTCAGCAATATTCCAGCTATGTAACAGCGGTCTGTACATAATCGAGTCTGAACCATACAATCCACTGATCAACAGCATGAGCATCGATCTTTGCATATTGAGATACGATGACAGGTGTCAACCAAGTCATCGAGTCTGACTACCTGATCCCATCAATCGCTTCTTACGAAAAGCATGGGTCGCTGAATACAAATTGTAACCAGGATCTTCGATTCGAACCCACACCCGCAGAGTCAGACACCTAGTCGCCAGCACACAAAGTTTGGTTTTACGCCACTTTTAGCAATATTCCAGCAATATCACGGCGTGGACACACCAGAAATGGGCTTCACATATTGTACCCATGTGGGGAATCGAACCCGGGTCTTCGGCGTGACGAGCGAAAGCTTTAACCACTAGGCTACTCCACCGCCCCCAACGAGCTCAGGGAACATAAACAAACACAAAGGGAAATCAGCCCATGCCCCCCTCGTGAACAACTTATAATGAAAAATATCATATTCGAACGTGATTTGGTTTTGAAGAACAAATAGTGTTTTATTGTTGATGTGTTCCGTTTATGTACATGGCGATTAGGGTATTGACGTGGAGACTTCAAGGTGCTCGATTGATAACACGAACGAGAAAGAACTAATCAGCCAACATATTTATGTAGATGCGGAGGGTATTGACGTGAGGACTTCAAGGTGCTCCTTATTGACCAGAAACAACCCTTTAAATTTTCTAACATTGAAAGCGGTTTCAAAATGATAATCGTATTTTGTGTCTTCAGAGACAAGTTCTGGAAAACCTTTTTTCTGTTTACAAAGCGGGTCGAAAAGTTTCTGTCGCCAGTGCATGCAGCTAAACAAAAACGACGGCAAGAAATTCAACACATGCCTGTTATTCAGCACTATTCGTGTCAACAAAAATATCGCTGCAAGAGGGTGTATGAATACAGTCGGTTCTAAGTGTTTATTTACCCTTGCGTCTCAACAAATGAAAATCCGTCAAGATCGTGACGCCCAGTCAGCAGATGTTCTCGCGTTGAGGTATACATGTACTCTAAACTGTATTAGCAGGGGGTAAGCTGTCAAAATGTGGAACAGTCCCTATGGGGACAGTTGTCGATGCTCGTGAGCTGATACTCACGAAACAGTACTTGAAGATGTAACGCGAATCATGATTATATGTCACGTTTTCTACCAAACTGCGCACGACACACTGCTAATTTGCATGTGGCGTGACCAGACGCTTATTCTGAAACCTTAACATACTGACCTAGTGCCTTTCAGATTGATTTGCATATTGTTTTTGCGTCGTAATAGAGAAATGGTAGTATAACTGTATCCGTGAAAATGCGTTAGAATTGATCTTAGCAACCCACGACTGTCGTGAGAGGCGACTTGCGCGAGAGGCGACGACTAGCTTGCTGGCTTCATTGACACATGTCATCGTATCTCATTTGCATAGGTCGATGTTCATGCATTGATCACTGGATTGTCTGGTCTAGACTGGGCTATTGCCGCCGTCATATAGTTATAATATTGCTGAGTGCCGCGTAAAACTAAACTCACTCACTCACTCACATTCGTCTACGAAATACATGGCCAGTGGATAAGCGTTCGCCCGTCACGCCGAAGACCTGAGTTCGATTCCCCACATGGGTATAGTTTATGAAGCTCATATCTGGAGTTCCCTGTCGTGATATTGCTGGAATATTGCTTAAAGCGGCGTAAAACCATACTCACTCGCTCTACGAAATACGCTTGTTAATGTTTCTCTTGCGGCAAACGCCGGATGTCCTGCCAAGAATTTCAGAGATCAATAATGTCACTTATTGACGATTGGTTGGTGGGTTGCTTAAGACCAATTCATCTATGTTCGAGTTATGTATTCTTAAATATGTTTACGTATATAGCGCGAAAATAAAACCTTATATTTTACAGCCTGTTTCGTTTTGGCCTGTGCGTTTTTTCTGAAGAGTTTAAATTCTAACGTATAACGTATTCTAACTTATCACGTATAATACTTCAGGACTAATGTCGTCTAATACACAGCAAATGTTTCCAGCTCTCTTGTGGATCGGGTGGTCAGGTTCCAGGTCATGGCTAAACTAAATCCCTTTCCTTTGTGGATCGGGTGGTCTGGTTCCAGTACGTGGGTGAACTAAGCCCTTTCCATTGTGGCTCGGGTGATGAGCCTCGAGGACGTGGTTGAATTACACCCCTTTCCTTTGTGGCTCGGGTGATGAGCCTCGAGGACGTGGTTGAATTACACCCCTTTCCTTTGTGGCTCGGGTGATGAGCCTCGAGGACGTGGTTGAATTACACCCTTTCCTTTGTGGCTCGGGTGATGAGCCTCGAGGACGTGGTTGAATTACACCCCTTTCCTTTGTGGCTCGGGTGATGAGCCTCGAGGACGTGGTTGAATTACACCCTTTCCTTTGTGGATCGGGTGATGAGCCTCGAGGACGTGGTTGAATTACACCCCTTTCCTTTGTGGCTCGGGTGATGAGCCTCGAGGACGTGGTTGAATTACACCCCTTTCTTTTGTGGATCGGTTGGTCTGGTTCGAAAGCGGGTCTGATCGTTTAGCACCAAAGTAATATCTTGTTGGATGTCGTTCAAGATAACTTGTTTAAGTGGCATTTAGAAGGTGGTATGATGAACAACAAGGAGAGTTCTATGGATATTCTCCCTGTTAGAATCAAAGAACATCAAGCCTCTGTGAAGAAGAAAGACTCTAAATCCGCCATCTCTGACCACACCCAAGCTCACCCAGACCACAACATCCTATGGAACAGCATCAATGTACTCACCAGCAATCACACCCACTTCAAGATCAGAAGCCATTCACATCAAGAGACTCCAACCGGCCATGAACAGAGACCAAGGATATTACATCCCCACTGCCTACAACCAACTCATCACCAAGCAATCTTAATCCTATTGTTCTCCTGTCTGTCACATCACTGGCTTCCCCCCCACCCACCCTAATCCCCTATAGCTTACTATGTTTGTGTAACTATTGGCCCCTTGTGTAAACATCCACCAGCCTGTACATCTACCTCATTAATTGTGTAAATATCATCACTTACTGTTCAACTTTACCATGCATATAAATATACCTTGCATCTAGTATTGTACATCATTTGCTTGATAACGGTGTTAGTAGCTACACCGAAACGTCGCTCATATCATATTAAAGAAGGTGTATATCTATAGAACTCTCCTTGTTGTTCGTCGTTCAAGATTACAAAGGTAACAACTAAACTCATTTTGCATCTTGTGAAAATACAAAATTTTCAACACATTCGAGGATTTCTTAAAAGAAGACGTTCAGGGCTCACATATCTATGAAACTGTTTGCAAAAGAAGATCATGTCGATGACAATATCATATTTCCGCAATATTTCTCGTGGCACATTACACATATCAAGAGGACTTTGGCTTAATACAGGACATAGTGAGACCCGTGTTTGAAGCGTTAATAAAATGACTGACATGTAAAATCGCGAGACGACAAGAGTAAGGATTAAGAGGTCCCAACAAGTTTATTCAACAACATATCAATAAATAACCAAAATAAGACTGAAACATTATTATAAAATCTGACTATGTGAGTTAGAATTACTGTCAAAAACAGCAATATTAATTTGAAAACATAAAAATACAAATAAACAATTGTGAATTAGTTGTGCCCTATAACATAACCACAGTTTGTATATTTTATAACGTACAGCGTATCGCCGTTGAGTTGTCTCCCTTGCCAAGTTCCTCTTGAGACTCCTGTGCCTGCTTGAAGATGCAATCACAGGTTTCTTTACCTGACAAGCAATATTACCTGTCTACGCAAAATGAGGAAAACTGTTCCACAAATCAATCCTATCGGAATAATAACTTTTATAGCTATTGTTGTTGAACATGCTCTCGTGATTTTCTTAACTGACGAAAAAGAAAATGGTGGTTGAAGAAGTACTTTGAGATAAGTATCTTGCTCTCGCGTGAATTCAATACCTTCTTCAACAAGCACTGGCGAGACATTATTTGTTCTGTAATAACTTCAACCTTGGAAGCCGTATAAATCATGTAAACGGATCCTGTTTAGATTCTCGTAGCACAGTCTCTTGCCTCGTGCCTCCACACACCTAGCTATCACAGCATTAGAGGATTGATGGTCTCCTAGCACTTTGTAACACAAGGCGAGCAACTTATAAGCCTCAACCAGCTTGATATCCAGCTGTAGTGCTTTCTGAAAGCGAGGTATTGCTACGTCAAACTGTCGAAATCTCATCAACCAGTCGCCCTCGTAGGTCAGTATTGTGGCATTGCTACCGAGGGGGATGGTTGCAGCTATCCGCTCCAGTTGACTTTCTGCCTCTGCGTCAAGATTCCGTTTTAGGACCCTCCTTTTTCCCGATCTGAACACTTCACGAAAACCAATCTTAACGAACTTCCTGTCCGTGTTCATCACTAGGTAATTGTAATGTTTCTTGGCCACCAAGACTTTCAAAAGGTACGGGGTATTGTACACAGACACAAATTCTGATGTTTCGCTGAAAGTACTCACAGTCACGTTTGTCTTCCTTCCGAAGAAATTCGCAGAGTTTAGATTCTTCCTTGTGCCGTAACTAAATTCATAAAACTCATAATGGAGGAGTCCAATTATTGGAACATTTTGATGCAACACGGTATAACCTCCGCTCATGTGAACCATTTGATCCGTGAAGACACCTGTGACGTCATTTTGTTTACTTACGTAATCAAAACATGTGATGACGTCATGAGATTGTGTGTTCCCCGTGTAAGTCCATGTCTTGTTTGATTGGTCGAGAGACGAGGGGAACACATACCACTGACTTAGAATATACAGGACAACCGCCATTAATGTAAACAAGTGACCGTTTGGGCCATATTTTATGGTTTTCAGGTATTTGGCACTGATATAAAAACAATGAGAACAACCAATAAAAGCTAGGACTAGATAATTATGCATAAAGCGAAGTTCTTTGTGTTCATTAGCAGAGTATATCAACATGAGTATGACAAGAGACACAGCAAGTTTGCTGATGACTCGGCATCTGTGTCGATCTGAATGGGAAAGGGACTTATATACGACTAAATTAACGCATATTATTGAGAAGAAATAGGTTGTCAATAGCATCAAACACGAACTTTGTCCAATCAAGTTCTTCAAATACCAGGTAAACTGCATCCTCCCGAAAACAACCGCAGCATGGTCCTGAAGGACGTTGAACTGAAACCAGCTGTAAGGGGAGATCACTCCCACTCCATATGAATTGAAATCATCACAAACACAAAATGCAAGGCCGATAACTGCACCAACAATGCACGGAACTAGTCTGGTTTTCTGTAGGCATTTCCGGTTAATATGAGGAAGTGACGTCGCGGCTACAAACAGAGATGCATCTACGCGTATGTAGCAGCATATAACTAGAATGAAAGATGCAAGAGTTAGCTCCCTTTTGTCATGGTCACGTTCACAATCTTCAAGCTGTTGTCGCTGATACGTTGTAATGACATTCATGTTTGAATCATTTAACGCAGACATTTCACTGTCAGGGCTTAGCTCATGTTTACTATAAACACGTTCAGCAACACCGTCTTCTTTCTGAGTCACTGGTTCATTTGGCCGAGAACAATCGTTTATTAAAGATATCCCGTTTGTCATACTTTGGATTATAGCTGCAATGATGATTCCCGGACAGTTGGCAAACCCTTTCGTGATGCCAGTGATTCCTCCGTCACCGTGTTCGAAGCCGTGATACAAACCCTTGCTTCTCTCACAACTGCACATGTTCTTAGATCCCGAGCTTTCTCGACTTTTCTCGTGGTCAGGCACATACTTTGACACGTAATTCAGATTCCGAGTGGAATCTGAAGACGACTTGACTTTTTTATCTTTGTTGGGGTTTGTCGAAACACAAAGTAAGTTTTTAAACAGAAAGTATAACCCACAAAATAGCGGTGTACCACAGAAGCTGTTGATGAGCGTATGTGTGCCAAACACGGAAAGATGAGTACTTCCTGCCGTCAGTATGGCCGCCAGAACACCACAGTCATGTGACCGGAAGAGGATTCGGGTGAACTTGTAGACAGCCAATGGGAGACAAGATGACACGACAGCGTGAACTACCTTCCATAGCTGCAATATAAAGTAAGCAAATAGGTGCATGTGTCCATGTTTATTTGGTATTTGCATCAAACATTATATTTCACTGAAGGAAATTAAAATTGAATAGTATTCCGAAACGATATTCTACCCACCCAGTTTATGATAACTCCTGTTATGTAGTTTTGTAATATTCTGACAACTTTCGACAGCTGCTTCGCTATACATGTGGTCTTACCGCCATTACCGCATTGATCTACCCAACTGCGATATGATTACATGTGCCAACCTAGTCAAGTCTGACTACCCGATCCCGTTAGTCGACGCTTACGAGTCCCTACATTGGTACAATGTGTGAAGAAACATTTGTCCCCCGCCGTGATAATCCGGTAATATTACTATAAGCGGAGCAAGACCATTCTGATTCATTCACGCGAAACAAGTCCATGGGTTAACAAAACATTTGTGTTCTCTTAAATAAAATTGAATAGTCTTACACAATATTTTTAAAAAACTACAAACAAGATTAAACATGCGAAATAAAACAACAGTTGTGTACTCACCAAGAACGGCGTCCCCGTGTACCCCAGCCACTCCATCAGCACAGCCACCAGCATGAAGAACCGCGGCAGCAGGAACGACCTCATGCTATGCATCCCCATCTGAATCTCACTGTAGCGCACCTGGGTGACGTTCGGGTCCCCGTAGATGGCAGGTACTCGTGGGTGCGGAATCCATACCCGTACACCTCGGAGTGGGCAACTGTAAATATACAACAACATGACATCATGCACTTACCGTTAAAGTGAGATTCGTCATCATTCGCAAAACCCGTTAGATCAGGGTTAGAATTGGTCTTCAGCAACCCATGGTAAGAGGGGACTAACGGGATAGGGTTGTCAGGCTTCTGACATGGTTGACATGGCGATTGAGTTTTGTTTTACGCCGCTTTAAGCAATATTCAAGAAATATGGTGGGACACCAGAAATGGGCTTCACACATTGAGAATCAATCCCGGATCTTCGGCGTGACGAGCGAACGCTTTAACTACTAGGCTATCCCACCGTCCCCACTACCGAAGACATTTAGAATACATATATTAGAAGTTATGATCTGAAGAAGGCTAAGAGGAACTGGACAATTATCAGAGAAATCGGTCAATTGTTAGGACATAGCTATGTCCGGGCAAGTTGGTGCATGTACATGCAATATATTTTCTAGAGTGTTTGGTATAAATTATATATACACATGGAAAAAAGTATCGCAACACTTATGACTTTCACTCCCATTTATGTTCATATCGTAATTATGTTTGTTTGTTTGTTTGTTTGTTTGATATGTTAGACTATAAATTGATGTCAGATATACACGTGCTACGATCAACAACTACGTGCAAGTCGTGTACCCGTCATTAAGCAAATATCAAGTTTCAGTAAAATGTTCTTACATGTTGATAACTTGGAAAATTAATTCATTTCGTTGTTGATAAGCAACTGACAACTGCCCAAAGATGGCAAGATATTGACAATATTGCCATGTCACTGGGGGCTATAGCAACAGGTTATGGCTGTCATCACCCGATTGGTCATCCCCGATTGGTCATCCCCGATTGGTCATCCCCGATTGGTCATACCCGATTGGTCATCCCCGATTGGTCATACCCGATTGGTCATACCCGATTGGTCATCCCCGATTGGTCATCCCCGATTGGTCATACCCGATTGGTCATCCCCGATTGGTCATACCCGATTGGTCATACCCGATTGGTCTTCCCCGATAAGGAGCTGTAAGGTAACAACACCAGAAGCTGTGTATGCGACAATACCAACATCACAAGTTTCAGATCTGAACTGAAAACTCTCATGTTCAAGAGAGCATAGACTAAGCGCCTTAGAGCAGTTTTCTGGATTAAGGCGCTATAAAAATGCCTAACTTATTATTTATCATTATTATCCCATTTTGTCAAGGATGACTGCATGTTAGCTGAGGTAAGGATTAGCTAACATCTTTGTCAAACTTCAGTTTTTATAAAAACACGTATTTATATTTATGGAAGCTGCCATTCAACGTCAAACAGCTGGTCGTATGAAATGATTTAAAGAGCATGTCCTTACCTCCCGAGGGCACCCATCATACGATTTACATCTTAATGTCTGTATATGATCGTTATAACCTACTGCGGTATTTCATTTATGCGGATATGCCTTGTTTTATAGATACACCAACCACGGAATGCCTTGCGGCAGGTTAAGGCGGTGTCAAATGGCTTTTAAATAGCCGAATGAATTGCAGATTGCCCACGTATGAATTTTATTACCGTTAGAGCAATAACAGAATTCTCCTAATTGTAGATGCAGCTGGGAGGACCTACATCGTGACAAGTTGTGCCCCTTTGGCAATTATGTGTAAAAATGTTTTCAGAAAATAAATTCTTAAACGCTTTTGGTTGCAAAAAAGTCCTTGTTCGGTTGCCAGTATTTTATATCTGTACACTGCTGCCGGTCATGAAGGGGTCTTCCGTTATAGGCATATCTACGTACACTTTAAAACTGAAATTTGAAATTTGAAATAAGATGTTTTCATTGCTAAAGATTTCGATCGGAAATTACCGGCTATTGAGCCTGAATGATGACACAGAGTACACATGTTGTTCCCCATCATTTAGTTATAAACATTCTGTCATTAGTAATTGATACTAAATAGATTATATTTGTACGCGTATTAAACTGGATCCCTATCCACAAAGAGTTCGTAGCGCTACGACATTCGTACGCCTTTGGTAACTGTCGAGTTACAACTGGTCGTAACATTACGAATGCTTTGATGATCGGGAAACTGATTTCACAAAGTTGAGTCAGGATTTGGGAATTACGCACGTTCCTACTCAGCCTGCTCAGGAAAGTCGTAAAATCCTCATGACAAACTCATGTAAAACTCATGACAATATGCCATGTATGATTAATGTAATTGAATGCCTCTAATAATCATATTTTTTTTCGTTTCGCTTAAGCAACGACTCTAAGCGGGACCTACCCGTGCAATGTGCGTGAGTATATCTATACAGTTTGTTCACAAATATATTACAAATTTCGCTAAGACTTGACACTAATTTCCACATACGGACAATAACAAAGCACCTTTCCACCTGTCCACCTCAGATATAATCTTCAGATAAGAAAGTTGCTATTTGTCCTTTCAAGAGGCACAAGTGAACCTTGTCAGATACCACCGATTATACGACAGTCACGCATCGGGTCACGACAGTATGTACGTGACGTCAACTGAGATCACATTCCCCATCTAACGCTACTCAGGTGTCAGGCTCCTGACAAAGGTCCCGCCCTATCTGTCTGTGAAGGTTGTGAATCTCTTCATCTGACACGCAGGGTACAGAGATCAGATGAAGAGGGCGATCACGAGTGTACAAGCCTGGTTGGTTGGTTTGGTTGTTGTGAGTATGAGTGAGTGAGTGAGTTTAGTTTTACGCCGCTCTCAGCAATATCCCAGCTATATGGCGGCAGTCTGTAAATAATCGAATCTGGACCAGACAATTCAGTGATCAACAGCATGGACAGCGATCTACGCGATTGGGATACGATGACATGTGTCAACCAAGTCAGCGAGCCTGTCCACCCGATCCCGTTAGTCGGCTCATACGATAAGCATGGGTTACTGAAGACCAATTCAGGGGTACATGATTCTGGACACGTGATGGGACGGTGGGGTAGCCTACTTGATAAAGCGTTCGCTCGTCACGCCGATAGCCCGGGTTCGATTCCTGCATGGGTACAATGTGTGAAGACATTTTGCTGATGTCCCCCGCCGATTTATTGCTGGAATATTGCTAAAGCAGCGTAAAACTAAACTCACACACTGGACACGGGATAGTTGGCAGAGAGGGGATTTTGGAAAGACAACTTTAGGAAAATGATGTTAGAATAATGTGGCTCAGTTATATCGGGATCGAGCCCACCTGTGACCGGGTGTAAAAACCTTGGAGTCAACTGTGTGTGCAGACTCTTTCAGTGTTGTCACAACCCCTAGTGTACAGTACACAACCCTGTGCACTTAAAAGAACCCATGAATCCGTTGGTATAGATGGTGGCCACATGAATACGTGCAAACAACTAGTTGCGGGTACAGCAACGTGCAGTGAACTTGGACAAAATACTGTGACTATGTGGCCCAGTCCATCCGGCTGTGAATGAGTACCTCGTTAGGATGAGAAAAGTCACAATAACCCGGAGCGCCTAGTGGCTGCAAGAGTTCTATACTCCCCAGGGAGTTGAGATTGCTAATACGATGTGCTATTGAGATTGACATCCAGCAATCGAGGGAAAAACAAATCGTCTTTGAGCAGCTGATATCGGCGCTATACAAATAGTGAGGTGGGGTAGCCTAGTGGCTAAAGCGTTTGCTCGTCACGTCGAAGACCCGGGTTCGATTCCCCACATGGGTACAATATGTGAAACCCATTTCTGGTGTCCCCCGCCGTGATATTGCTGGAAGTTGCTACAAATTGAACTCCGCCTCCGTCGCACAATCACTCCCTCGCAGAGCGGAAGGTGGTCCCCCGACCGCGGCATACCAAAAGACGTTAAAATATGGTACTTGCCTGGCGCTCGGTATTAATGGGTACAACAAGGACTGGTCGGCTCGGAGTCAGTATAATGTGTATGAGTGGGGTATTATTCATGCTTCACTGCGGCATGGTATCTCAGTGGGCTAGCACTATAAAACCAGCTTCAGTCTGGGCTAGTACAAGCAGCCGCACATACACATACACTTGCATGAACGTCGTCGTATGAGCGAAATATTCTCAAGCACGACGTTCAACCCAATTCACCTCACCTCACTCACTCGCACACATACAGAAATATGCTCTCACACACACAAACACGCACGCACGCACGCACACTCGCACTCTACTTTCCCCTAACCCCACCTGTTGACACCCACCCACGAAGAAAGGTGACTAATATCCATTAGAAATTGAAGCCTTGACCGGTAGAATATTAACAACATCACCTCTCTGGAAAATTAAATGGTAGGTTGGTCCCCAACACAACGTACACCAAGGAGGCCCAATATAAGTATCGTATTTCACTGAGATATACCTACAATGTAAATGGGCTGAAGTTTACGACACAGATAATCATCTATACCCCAGTAGTTTTAGTGTTCCTGGGATTGATTCCTACAAGGCAGTACTCTTTGAAACCCATTCTCAGATCTACGGAATCCTAAGTGGGACATTGTCGCTAGTCGCTATGTCGCATTATAAATATTATTGCAATCGCGACAACGCGATAATGTCCCTTCTAGGATTCCATACATATCAACCGCTGTGATATTGCTTCCTGTGAAGCCCAATTCAGGTTAACTAAAGCTTGATGTCGCAATTTGCTAGTTTTCGTAAGGGCGACAACGCGAATGTCCCTTCTAGGATTCCATACAATTCAACCGCTGTGATATTGCTTCCCGTGAAGCCCAATTCAGGTGAACTAAAGCTTGATGTGCGCTATAATAGTGTCATTATCCAGTTTGGGACACACTTCTCATAAACGACAGGTGCTTTCAATGGTAGCTGTGCTTGTATTTTCATCTTTTCACCGTACAATGAACCTGTCAGGGGTTTTAGGTGCTTGCGTATCAGTTGCATCATTTGAGAGTTCCACTCATCTAAATCATATCTTTGTTAGCTAACTTTGAGTGAGGGACAGTTCAAGCATCCCCACAAACACGTCAGTGAGAAACGTCATTCTAGGTCAGCGACCCCACTACTGAATTTTCACATTACATTTGGCAAACATTCTTGTATTGTATACAAGGTGAGGTTTGTATAGAACGATTACTCAGCAGTTGATAGTCTTGTATACAAGTATATGATTAAAGATGCTCTATAATTTAACAGCACAATGGACATTTCATCCCGCTGTCAACAAGCATTCCTTAACCAGAAACAGAGGTATTAGGAACATATTAGGCCGTTTCTATTCATCACTTTCTGTAGACAGAACAACAAGGTAGGAACGCCCTTTAGAGATATTTAGTTTACATACAAGTCAGTTAAGCCCCATAACATTCAGTACCACATCATTGTATGGATGCTGACCCTGACAACGACTTCTACCCCCTGTCAAGTACAGTGAATGGACATGATTGGAGGATGTGTTATGTGTTGGCAGACACGCTGCGGGCCCAGCATGACACTATAGTTCCCTACGTGGAGATGTCAAATTCCTTCACGGGTGGACACTCTAATGATGGCGTTCGTTACAATACGAAATTCCTCGAATGGCTACTATGGTGCCTTCAGGAAGGAGGGAGACAGTATGACCTTATATCAGGTCAGGCTCAACTGTTTGGGGGAATAAGGGTCACGATTATCATATCATTTCCTCATCTACATACAACTGGAAAAGGGGAGGTGGTGTAGCCTAGTGGTTAAAGCGTCCGGTCGTCACGCCGACGACGCGGGTTCGATTCCCCACATGGGTACAATTTGTTTAGCCCATTTCTTCTCTCTCTCTCTCTCTCTCTCTCTCTCTCTCTCTCTCTCTCTCTCTCTCTCTCTCTCTCTCTCTCTCTCTCTCTCTCTCTCTCTCTCTCTCTCTCTCTCTCTCTCTCTCTCTCTCTCTCACACACCCAGTGTGTGTGTGCGTGCGTGCGCTGGCTCTGGCGGGCAGGTGCGGGCGTGTGCATAACGTCAGGACTTACATACATAAAGAATACACCCGTACGTGCCTAGGGGCCGTTCATAATTTGTGGGTAGGGGGTGATGATGATTTATTATTTATTTTGACCCCCTACATGCCATGTACAAAATCAATGACACCCCCACCCCATCTCCCTATAATTGTTCAGCATATTATTTCAATATTATTATGTACATAATTGATGTCCCCCCCAACCCCCCAACCCCCCGATCATATGTACAAAATATATGTAAGGAATACATGCGAAATATTTATGTAAGGAATAAATGCGTACTGTTTATGTAAAGAGCCCATCAGTATTTTCATTATAAGTGACTAACATGCATCAGTCTGAAACTCCGTACGACATTTAGCAGCAATGGAACGATGTAGCTACCATACGACTTGAACCAACACATTCACCGCTGAGAATACCCTTTGTACTTGCTTGTGCCCACTCGGTTTGTTTACAAAAAGGACAACTTGATAATGCAACTTTCAGATTCGGGACGAAAACGCAATATTGACTGTAGGATAAATTAAAGTCGTCAGATTCCAATAGATCTGAATACAAAAGACACATTCAAACATAGTTACCAAACACTAGCATAGTTAAAAAAAGAAGACATGTCTTAAATGACTGGGCATCACATACTCAAATGAACTTTTTGAAACACTGAAGCGTTCAGAGTGATCAGGAAGATAAAAACTTTTCAAGAGATAAAGGGTTAATTCCACATATTCGGGATTCCAAGATTAATTAGGCGAACTCAGATTCAACTCAAGTCATGACCTACGGCTTATCACAGACACATAAACGTAATGTGGAGTTCACACAACAAACATTAACATAGTTTAAATAACGAATATAATAATGTTCATTTATAAAGCATTTATAAAGTTTCCACGCACTTGTGTATGTTCAAGGTGCTAAAACACGAATAAACCAAGCTGCCTGTGAGGCGCTGGAAGGTTAACAGTCATACGACTTATCCCACCGGGTACCCATTCACTGCTGGGTGAACAAAGGCACTTTATGAACAAACTCACTTGCCTAGGATGAGACCAGATGTGTCACGTGGGGCAGGACTGAAGTCCTAGACACTGTCAGGAGACAAGCTGCCAAACACGGTCACCCATCCAAGAACTCTCCGCGCCCAACGTTGCTTAACTTCAACTGATTTGTGACCTGAGCTCTATGCACAGGACCACACATCTCAATGTATTAGATGAGATGAGCATCACATACTCAAATTAACTTCTTAAAACACTGTAATGTTTAGCGTGATCAGGAAGATGATAGTATTTCAACGGATAAAGGGTTAATTCCACATTTTCAGGATTCCAAGGTTAATTAGGCGAACTCAGATTCATCTCAAGTCATGACCCGCCGCTTATCACAAACACACAAAGATATTGTGGAGTTCCTCCCAAGCTGACATCAATGATGGCATTGAAATATCCCCATCTATAGAATTCCCTTAATAGTTTGTCAACCCTCAGCCACGATGGGCGTGGCGGCGACAATAGGGTTAAAGTAGTACGGAAAGGCTAGATCGTGACTCTGCGACAAGAGAGCGGTCCAATACACATTGATCGAGTTTTATATTGTCGTGTCAAATATTTGATGGCTCGTGTATTTGCATTATCGGTTGGTTTGTTGGAGAGTACTCTTGAGAGTTTATGATGTTTCGATGATGACAGCTGATTTATTGTTTAATGATCTATATGGCAGTTTTAGGGGATCAGTGATCTTCAATTGTGTATTTTTGGAAACAATAATAAAGTTATTTGACATGTCAGCTTGATGCAAGGTTTTTGAAAGTGATATACTTGGTTAAGCGTAATCAACGATCAAGAATATGGAGCTGAATATAATAACATAATCAGTGGGTATACTGGATCTGAACCCACGATCATAGGTTCCAAGTCCGTCTAAGGGACGCAACTCTGCGCAGCAAATTGCGGTGACATAAGCTACAAATAGTAGAGTGGGTGAGTGAGTTTAGTTTTACGCTGCGTTTAGCAATATTCCAGCAATATTACGGCGGGGGACACCAGAAATGGGCTTACCCCCCATTTGGGGAATCGAACCCGGGTATGACGAGCGAACGCTTTAACCATTAAGCTATCCCACCGTCCCAGTAGTAGTAGTAGTAGTAGTAGTAGTAGTAGTAGTGGTAGTAGTAGTAGTAGTAGTAGTAGTAGTAGTAGTAGTAGTAGTAGTAGTAGTAGTAGTAGTAGTAGTAGTAGTAGTAGTAGTAGTAGTAGTAAAAAGAGGTAAAGAAGGAGGAGAAGGAGAACCTACCTTCCAGAGATTGGAATATCTCATCCGGATGAAGTATCCACCAATTCCTTGGCTGACTGACATAATTCACCCTGACGGCCATTGTCAAGGCGCAGACGACCCATGGTGAAAACCGCGGGAAAATATCCTCTTCCCCTGTAAAGTCGCCTACATCAGACGAGGAAGTGTTCAAACTGACATCCAATTTGGGCGTCGTTTGGCTTGTCAGTCCACCATGTTTTCCATTCGACTGCAATCGGTTCCTCTCGCGTCGATGTGTCCGTTGTTTCATCGTGTCTTCATCAGATACCTCCGTTTTTCATCGTGTCTTCATCAGTTACCTCAGTTTTACTATGTATCCCCTGGGTTAACATCCTTCCCAGCACGCGTGTATCTGTAGAATATAAAACGAAAACAGGTTACTATGACATGTACACAAGACTCCGCTCTCGATGCACGACAGGAAGTACTTGCTAAATACACACTGTTAGAGTATTACCTTTCAATTCAGACAAGTGTTAAGCGGTAATGTTGTAGGTCGCACAGGTGTCCTTTCTACAGGGACACACCGACCCGCTTAACAAAGGCTTCATTATGGTAGCATGAGGGCCCCATCATTCTGAGGATACCAGTGATAACATGGTATGTTATGGGATATTAGAGTGTTGTGTGATATCAGTGAAGCTATGGGATAACGGGGCTACTAGGGTTCCTTAAGGATTCTGGGATATTAGGGATGCTTGGAATAACCATTCTTCATAGATGGACTAATGTGTGGACGATATCGGGGGGTGGAGTGAGGGATCGAAAGGTTGTTTTTTGTATCGTTATGTGGGTTTTTTGTTTTATTTTGTTATGTTTTTTGTTGCTTTTTGTTTTGTTTTGTTTGATTTGTTGTTGTTTTCTGGGGAGATTTTTTAATTTTTATTTTTTTGGGGAGTATTTAGTTTATGTATATTTATTTATTCATTTATTCATTTTTAGTTATTAGTACGCACTAGCATTTGGGGTGGGGAGGCGAGTTATTGAGCATATTACGCACTTGGAGCACTCAGCATCATTCCAGTTATATGAGGCGATCTGTAAATAATCGTGTCTGAACCAAGCAATCAAGTGATCAACAGCATGAGCATCTATCTACGCAACTGGGATACGATGACATGTCAACCAAGTCAGCGAGCCTAACCACCCGATCCGGTTAGTCGCCTCTTACGACAAGCATGGGTTGCTTGAAGATCGATTCAGGGGTCATTGTAAAGTTCTTATTTACAAATATTTACAAAGATATAGGCATGCTTTTCACACAATATCAACATTTTAAACATATAATTTTAAATATATAATATTTAACTATTCAAAAGGTTTGTAAATATAGTAAACAGCTATGTCCTGCCTCCATGTGTTTAAGTCTTAAGTATGTTTAGACTTTAATCTCAGTCTATTTACATTTTTGTGTTTGAATAAGGGCCTTGTGATTTTATGCAAATAAACGTTTTTTTCTGAAGCTCCATGTGCCATGTTCTGAAGCTCATCTGACTGTATTAGACCTGTCTAGGCTTATAATCGTTTGCTAATAGTGAGTGAGTGAGGGAGTTTGGTTTTTCGCTGCTCTTAGCAATATTCCAGCAATATCCAGACACCAGAAATGGGCTTCACACATTGAACCCATGTGGGAAATTGAACCCGGGTCTTCGGCGTGACGACGCTTTAACCACTGGGCTACCCCACCGCCCCTGTATGCTAATGCCTCGTCATTATTAAGTCATTCAAACCAAGCCGCGACTGTCAATGGGATATTCGTGTGGTGTTACTCAACAGCCCAATAAAGTTAAATGAATCTCAGAGACGCCCATTGACAGCGTGAATAACACAGCTGCTTCCCTGGGAATTATCCAACAGACACTCTTTGTTCACACAATGGAACCCCCCTAATCCGGACCCCAAATGCCCGTTATCCTGTCATAAGTTTGAAACAAGGTCAGTGGAGGTTTAAGAAGCTCACGGTAAACATTTCATTACATTGCCGTAGTGGTTAAGCCTAAGTAAATAATTTTCGTTCGTTTGGAATAGCGACGAAGTGGCTCGGGGACATTGTGTTTGATATTGCAATAGTTTGCCCGTGAATACATCTTGTATATGTTCAAATGGTCAAAAAGCCATAATGGTTCTTAGATTTCGTCTCAGATATTCCTGTTGCTCTCCACGACACCCATTCAAACTAGAGCTACTGAGACTTAAAACCTACTTTCTGTGTGTGAGTGAGTGAAGTGGGGTCGACGCTGCTTTGGACGATATTCCAGTCTAATCAGGGCATGTTGGACGGTGGGGAAGCCTAGTGTTTAAAGCGTTCGCTCGTCACGCCGAAGACCCGGGTTTGATTCCGCACCTGGGGACAATGGAGCCCATTTCTGGTGTCCCCTGTCGTGATATTGCTGGAATATTGCTAAAAGCGGCGTAAAACCATACTCACTCATTCACTAATCACGGCATGTCTGCTCAGTGTTGGGGGAAAGCGTGAAGTGACGCAAGTCTCTAAAGCGTTACCATTTTCTCTGAAATCGGTGGGTATGGGTATGGTGATTAGAAAGCTAGAAAGGTAGAAACTTGCTAGGGTTGAACCCAGATTCAAACCCGCGACCACATGTTTCTGGCTTGCCCAAGGGACACAACGCTTGCGCCGCCTTGGACGACCAAAACACCGTCACCCCCAAGAACAACTCCCAGACATCCATCACATGGGTCTACGATCCTCATTGTAATGTTAAATGTGTAATCTTAAGAAGCCATGACATACCATGAAATTATAACAATGTATTGTATGTGGGATCTATAGCATAGTGGCTGACTAGGGCGGTCGCTATATCGCCCTGAATAAATCCTATCGTGTGCAATATCGTGCCGTATTAATATCGCCATTTCATCACATTGCAATATCTTGTCGAACTAACGTCGTCATATGAGCGAAATATTCTCAAGCACGACGTAAAACCCAATTTCACCTCACCTCACCTTGTCGAACTAATGTCGCTATGTCGTCACGTGATGTTGCAATATTGTGCCATATTAAAGTCGCCATTTTGATCACGTGATATTGCAATATCTTGTACTAATGTTTTCATGTCATCACGTGACATTGCAATAACTTGTCGTACTATTTGTTTGTTCTCAACGGCGCTAATCAGCCACCACAGGGAACAGATATGGAAGTAGCTATTTAATCTTCAAGGGTCGGTTTCCACACAAGGAGATTTTGCCAGTAGCATAATCTGTGCAGTCAAGAGGTCATCTGTCAAACTGGTGTCATTTGACCTCTTGACTGGAGGCACTTTTCTCGTGACGTAGTTTGCTTCAGCGAGTCCTGCTAGGTCACAAAGCTCCTTACTTAAAGACAGTACAAGAACTGACAGCTCTACACATGAAAGCAGATCTTCATTGAACTATTAGTAGTCGCACGTAAACAGATGTCTCACATTTAAACACAATCATATTTGGACAAAAACAAGTGTTCTCATATAAACCCATGCTCTCAAACACACGATCTCTCAAAACACATGGCCTGAAACATATTCTCTCAGATAAACACATTCTCGCATAAGCAATTTATCTTAAATAAAAACATGTTCTCACATTATCACATGGTCTTACATTCACATATGTTCTCACATTAACACAAAATCTGACATAAACACATGTTCTCAAATAAACACATGTACTCGCATAAACACATGACCTTAAACACATGCCCTCGGACAAACACATCCTCGCATAAACAGATTACCTTGAATATAAATATGTTCTCACATACATACATGTTCTCACATAAACACATGACCTTGAAACACATGCCCTCAGATAAATACGTCCTCGCATAAACAGATTATCTTGAATATAAACATGTCCTCATAAAAAACACATGTTCTCACATAAACACACGCTCTCACATAAACACATGTTCTCGCATAAACACATGCTCTCACATAAACACACGTTCTCACATAAACACATGACTATACTGGTGTGATAGACTCATGCTTAGTCTCTGAATATATATAATTTTGATAGTAACAAACAAGCCCATTTAAATTGAAAAGGAGCCCTAGGGAGACCAGAGATTCTGAACCTGAGGAAATCTAGACATGCTTTATTTAGGGCTTTAGCACTGCAGAGAGGGCTTGGCAGTAGGGAAAATAAGGTGGTTCAGGGACTGTGAGACAGACTACTGGTATGCAGTGAGTACGCACTTACGGAGCGATTTCATGTTGAGGATCTTAATCACCACAAATGCTATGCCGTATCATTCAATAATCCAGACATGTGCTAATACGGATGATTTTTTAACGAGAAAGGCAAAGTACAGATAAACGAGGATTCATATAAACATACATTCATCTCAGTCGGATGTCTGCCTCGCTGTATAGGGATACAATTCTAAACAAATAAAACTGGCTAATGGTGATATTGATAACCCGGATGTTTGTTCCACAGCTGTTTGTGAACTGTTTCTGTGGCAGCAGTAACGACAGACTAGTAAACGTGACCAGAATCCCATACAACAACCTACAACATTACAACAACAGTACTCACAGGTGATGATGTACGACTAGCAGAGCCAACGTTGTCCAGGTATTTGTGAATTGTTTTCCGTCACAGATCTGCGTCTAAACGTGACCAGACTTCTATACAACGATATGTTGGAGTTAAATCAGCGGGAGATGTATAATGGTGGGAACCTGTCTACATGTCGCCCATTGTAACTGGAATCAGTGTGTGACGAGGATTTCAACATGTAACCTCCAGAGTGGCCTACGTTTTAATATTATTAGTGAATAACATGTACTGTACAGATCCACTCCTGGTGAAGTGGTCTGCTGCAAGGGTGTGTTTTGAATCGTGATTAATACACTGAATGTCACGGAAATCTAATACGAAATACAGATTCTTTGGTGTGGTGTGGTGTGGTGTGGTGTGGTGTGGTGTAGTATGGTGTGATGTAGATTGTGTTACGTTGTGCGGTGGGGTGAGGTGTGTTGTGCTGTGAAGTTATGAGGTGTGCTGTGCTGTGCTGTACTTAGTGTTGTATGGTGTGGGGGTGGGGTAGTCTAGTGGTTAAAGCGTTGCCTCGTCACGCCGAAGATCCGGGTTCGAATCCCCACATGGGTACAATGAGTAAATCCCATTTCTGGTGTCCCCGCCGTGATATTGCTGGAATAATGCTAAAAGCGGTGTAAAACCAAACTCAGTCAGTCAGTCAGTCAGTTGTATGGTATGATGCGATGCGGTGGGTGCAGGCAGTGTGGTGTTGTGCTGTGTTGTGTTGTGCAGGTAGTGTGGCGCTATGTGGTGTAGTGTAGGTGTGATGTTCTGTAGATAGATTGACATGGCGTGTCGTCGTGT